CCTTGCGGTGGCGCTTGGCGCCGCCCTTGCCCAGGCCCTTCCCGCCCTTGCCGCGGCCGGACATTGTCACAACTACACAGGACGCCTGTCCAAGCACGACTTGCGGCAGCGCCACGCAGCCCTTTTATAGCACTGCGACGGACCTGTTTGAAAACCTCCCGAGCAGGGGCGGGAACCACACTCCGGTCCCGCCCATCGCTCATTTCGCCTGGGCTCCGCGCAGCGTAGACCCGATGGGGGCCCTGCGGCCGCAGTCTGTCCCGGAGGAGATGCCAGAAATCCTGTGTGCGCGCCCGACTTGCAGCCTGTACGCCCGGCCACAGTCCATACACTTCACACAGAGGAGCCTCAGGCTTGGCCTTCACGGTTCCCAGACCAACCCAGAAACACTTGCTTAATACTCGCCGTTGTCCCTGAGACGCTTTAAGGAAGCTTTGAGGCTAATCCTGTCTTTATTGCTAAGTTTCTTTTTGTCTTATTGATGCATGGATGTCTGGTTCACTAACCAAGACTCACTGCATGAAAGTGCTCACAACCCTGTTCTGCCGTGAGTCTCAAGTGTATGATCACAGTGCAGAGTTCATAATGGACGACTTACATCTAGCACTGTTCCTGAACCCCATTCTAGTCGTCCACGCAGTCGGCATGGCGTAGAGCCAAGCTCTGGAGACGGCCTGCTGCCATGCTCTTTGTAGACCTGGGACAGTCTACACTCGGTGTTTTCTTTTCAAATATATAAGAAAATCTAAATTATGCAGCACCGGGGGCGCCTGGGCGGCTTAGTCGGTTAAGCATCCGACTTTCACTTAGGTTATGATCTCCCGATTCGAGGGTTCGAGCCCCGCGTCAGACTCTGTGCTGACTGCCAGCTCAGAGCCTGGAGCCTGTTTCAGAGTCTGTGTCTCCCTCTCTCTCTGACTCTCCCCTGTTCACTGTCTATCTCTCTCTCTCCTAGAAATAAATAAAAATTTTAAAAAATTTAAAATGTACAGCACCGAAGCCTAAGAGAGGATGCATGTAAAGTGTTTGATACTGCAGATAAGCACTCACTCAACGTTATAATATATTATTGAGCTCTCCGCTCCTCTCCTCAATATTCACTCCTCTAAGGTGGGTGTATCTCCTAAACTAGAGAGCACTGTAGTTTCTACAACTTTCTTTTAAGAACTCCTTCCAATCATAAACACTGAAAGATTTACTCTGTCACGAATCCCTTTGAGGAGTTCCAGGGGACTTTGTGGACATTGGCTTCTTGCCCAGGGTCTGTGAGGACCACCTAGCTCATCAAAGCTGCTTTTCTGACTTCATGGTGCATGGGGACAAATTCCACAGTGGGGCTCGCGCCCTCGGCTACATTGGCAGGCTTCAGGACATCTAGGAAGTTGTACAGAACAAAACTTCCGTCCTTATTTGTGCTATCCGCCGCCTGACCCCTGGCGTTCTGTCCACTGACGAATGCAGGCAGCCAGCAGAGTGACTGGCAGGACCCGCGATGTATTCTTCTCCCCTAAGCTGCACCTGTCACTACTTCCAGTATCTTTGAAGCGTATCACCCCTTCTAAACGTGGGTAATTGTTGGCCACAAGGGCAGCCTTGGTACTTTAATTGTATTAATAAAGAAACATATATGTTAACACTTCAACACTTTGGGGTTTTGATAAAATGGATGTTGGTATTTTAGTATAATTCTTTTTCTTATAAATCCTCTGTACATTATCATATGCATTCATCAGACATAAAGAAGAAGCCCATAAGATTCATGGGAAAGACAAAGAAGTCCATGACACAAAATGATAAAGAACACTTGGGGTCTTGAAAAACTCTGGGTTTGGAAAATGTGCAGAGAGGAACATTGGGAAATCCCCTGAGTGCTGGAGAAAAAACCATATGTCGGTAAAAGTAGTCAAATGTTGTGTAAAGGTAAATGGCAATGATTTCTCCACTCATCAACAGCTAAGAGGTTATTTCCTCACCCTCTTTTCTTTTTTTTTTTTAATTTTTTTTAATGTTTTTATTTATTTCTAGGAGAGAGAGAGACAGCGTGAGCAGGGGAGGGCCAGAGAGAGAGGGAGTCACAGACCGAAACAGGCTCCAGGCTCCGAGCTGGCAGTCAGCACAGAGCCCGACGCGGGGCCCGAACCCACGAACCGCGAGATCATGACCCAAGCGAAAGTCGGACGCTCAACCGACTAAGCCACCCAGGCGCCCCTCCTCACCCTCTTTTCTTCACAGAACTTATTTTGGAGAAATAGCATGTCTGTGTTTTCACATTTCCCTTAGGAACATAGAGAAATTTTTCTATGGATTTAGCCCCTTAGGAACATAGAGAAATTTTTCTAAGGATTTAGCCCCATCTCCTGTTTTTTCATTAGACAGATGTTTCCTATCCACAGGTAAGAGAAGGAATGGTTTCATTTTGCTCATGTGCTGAGTTACATGAAAGTAGATCTGTTACTGCTTACTCAGGATGGTGGGGTTTTTTTTTCTCTCCTCTATATTGCTACAGAAGGGCCATTTTGTTAACACTATTCGTTTTACATCTCCAACATGTGAAATGGACCAAATCCCAATATGTTTCATATGTCATTATCATATCTGGTAGGAATGCGATTGCTGAAACATGCGTCCTCTATATATTGACGTAAGGATCAAAACTCTCTGAGGAACGACACAGTTGACCAGATCTGAGCCTCCTGGTCGACACTGGAGCTGGCTACTTTTTTCAAAGTTGCTTGGACCTTCAATGGACTAAAAGTCCCCCAAACAAGTCCAGTATGGCTCATTTAATAAAGAATGGGTTTGTTGTTGTTGTTGGTTTTTTTTTAATATTTTTATTTATTTCTAGGAGGGAGAGAGAGAGACACAGCGTGAGCAGGGGAGGGTCAGAGAGAGGGAGACACAGACTCCGAAACGGGCTCCAGGCTCCGAGCTGGCAGTCAGCACAGAGCCCGACGTGGGGCTCGAACCCACGAACCGCGAGATCATGAGCTAAGCGAAAGTCGGACGCTCAACCGACTAAGCCACCCAGGCGCCCCTGAACAGGGGATTTATAAATAAAGTGTACAGAGGTGTCATGTTGAAGGTTATCTTTTGATTGGAAACTATGTGGATGGATAGGCTATGTAGAAAGGATCGGAAGAGTGCATCCGGTATACGGAGGTACAAAGGCAAACACCAGCAAGCACCCAGAAACACCAGTTTGACATTTAAGGAAGAGGACAGACGTGCGGGAGAAATTCGGAAGTGACCCATATAGAGGTAACTCATGAACCCGTGAAGGTGATTGGGCCAGCTACATTTAGGTAGCCGAGAGATACCTCTCCCTTTGCCAGTAATGCGTCTCTTTTCTTTCCCTGATCATGGTTGTAATATTAGCTCTCGTGTCTTGTCGGAACTGGCCACCATCACAGCCTTCTTGCAGCTCAGCATCTCTGTAATTCATACTTCCTTGCTGTCTATGAATATTCTTCAGGCGAGTGGCAAATCCAACCATAAGAACCAAAACCTCTTTGAGAGGATTAGGGATGCATAACACGTAATACAGCAAGTAAAAATGATCTAAGTTGAGGTGATTTCGCATCTCATTTCACCCATCTAAGTCATGTTACTATTTAGCCTTTAGTAACATTTATTATTTTTTTCACATTTCAGTTGAATGCAGGGCAGGAAGTACTCAGTCATTTGTGGCTTTTGAGGGGATCAAAAAGGAGTGGGAAACCCTCACCTTTTGGGCTTTGCCCTGTATATTCCCAGCATGTCTCTCTTTCGCCCTCCTAGCAAAACTCAGACAGGCAAATGCTTCAAAATACACATTAAAGAGAAAGAACTTGAAGAGTGATGAATATAAAAATTAAATGCCTTTCTACCATAAACATATTTCCTATTCAACATTAAAAATAAGATATAATGTGTTTCCTACAAACCTATCTCCTTCAAAACTAAGAAATGCGCTAGTGAATAGAAAACATGCTTTTTAAAAAAACGACCTGGTCTCAAGTGAATTGTGTGTGGATGTCTAAGAGTGAGAGTTTATGTGTGTGTGTTAAATGTGTATATTCTTGGATTCTGTTATTTTATTAGGTTGTCCAGGTTTATCTTCCCCAAGCATGGCAGAATTCTGTACCCAAAAGCTTATTAATATTTTAATTACTGATCCCCCTAAAGTCAATGTAAGTAAAAGATTTGTTAAACCGATAAAGGGGTCCAGCCTCTTTTATATCTCTCCTACACATGCTCTGTCTTCATTCATGGGAAACACAGGCGGGACAAACCAGGAAAGGACCAGACATTGCTCCATCCCCATATTCCACAACAAATCTTAAATGCCTAAAACCTCCAAACTAACCCTCCAAATAGTCATAAGAAGCAATGCTAAAGCTTTTTTGGGCAAAATAATGACAGTTCTTGACAGAACTAGCTCTTACTCCAAGCATCCTTTCCTACCATTCCTGTAGAGAAATAGGGAAACAGGCTGTGTTACTTCTCTTCATATGAACCAGATTTTCCAGGTAAATCTCAGTGAGAACTAAGCAGTTGTTGAACGTGCGAGATGCCAAGAATGTATAGAATGTTCCTAGAGAGCTATTGGCACAGAGAGAATTTATATTTTAAACGAAAATCATGAAGTTGTCTCCCTGTCCTGTGAATCTCTCCAAGTATCAGGGGATTTTGAAAACAGCTGACACTAACGGGGTAAAAACTGGAAGAAAAAAACACAAAGATCTAAAAGCACAAGGTGTCCGGCATCGCTATAGAATATTATCCGTGTGATCCCTCCACGGGAAATTTTAAATTTTTTGCTTTCCTCAATTGTAACAAACACAATTCTGGGGCAGAGCTGGGACTAGGTTGCTGTCAAGTTGCAAGACTGAGCTGGGAACAATCAGCGCGCAGCGTCGTTGTTTTTTATATATATCACACACACACACACACACACACACACGCCAGGCAACTCCACTCTGAGACATTATTATTATTATTGTTTTCCGTATCTTCAGGCATCCGAACCCAGAATGTCCGAGACCGCGCCCGCCGCGCCCGCCGCCCCGGCCCCTGCTGAGAAGACGCCCGTGAAGAAGAAGGCCCGCAAGTCCGCAGGCGCCGCCAAGCGCAAGGCGTCCGGGCCACCCGTGTCCGAGCTCATCACCAAGGCCGTGGCCGCCTCCAAGGAGCGCAGCGGCGTGTCCCTGGCCGCGCTCAAGAAGGCGCTGGCGGCCGCCGGCTACGACGTGGAGAAGAACAACAGCCGCATCAAGCTGGGCCTCAAGAGCCTGGTGAGCAAGGGCACCCTGGTGCAGACCAAGGGCACCGGCGCCTCGGGCTCCTTCAAGCTCAACAAGAAGGCGGCCTCCGGGGAGGCCAAGCCCAAAGCCAAGAAGGCGGGCGCGGCCAAGCCCAAGAAGGCTGCGGGGGCGGCCAAGAAACCCAAGAAGGCGGCAGGGGCCGGCACCCCCAAGAAGAGCGCCAAGAAGACCCCGAAGAAGGCCAAGAAGCCCGCGGCGGCTGCAGCCAAGAAGGTGACCAAGAGCCCCAAGAAGGTGAAGGCGGCCAAACCCTAACCATATTAAAGGACTTGTAACACTTGGTTTCTCAGGATCATTCACAATTTATGAAGACAAGAATACAACAGTATCACTTAGACAAGGTTATTGGCTCTGAAAAGAGCCTTTGGGTTTAAAGTTGGCATAGAATCCAAATCCAGTCTACGCCCGCTCGCCGCGAATGCGGCGCGCCAGCTGGATGTCCTTGGGCATGATGGTGACGCGCTTGGCGTGGATGGCGCACAGGTTGGTGTCCTCGAAGAGCCCCACGAGGTAGGCCTCGCACGCCTCCTGCAGCGCCATGACGGCCGAGCTCTGGAAGCGCAGGTCGGTCTTGAAGTCCTGCGCGATCTCGCGCACCAGCCGCTGGAACGGCAGCTTGCGGATGAGCAGCTCGGTGGACTTCTGGTAGCGGCGGATCTCGCGCAGGGCCACCGTGCCGGGCCGGTAGCGGTGCGGCTTCTTGACGCCGCCCGTGGCCGGCGCGCTCTTGCGGGCCGCCTTGGTGGCCAGCTGCTTGCGCGGGGCCTTGCCGCCCGTCGACTTGCGCGAGGACTGTTTCCTACGAGCTATCTAAAACTTCCCCACAGCAATTTGCTGCGGGTAATGTAACCATACCATCCTCTGCTACTATATATAAAGACACTCCCATTCTATTTGGACAGGTATTTCTTTCCTTTGGCTCCAAGTGAAGATGTTGGTATTGACCTTCACTCCCTGATTCACATGATGTCTAGTACATTTAGACCAAAAATTAATCTCTTTCAGAAAAAGAGGTTACTGTTATTTGTCTTCCTAAAGTGGAATGAACTGTTGTTTTCCAGCCTCTCCTTATTTACAATGATCTATCCCTAATCTAGCTTCCCTGTTTATTTACCAAGTTCTTTGGCTTTTGAATGCAGAATTTAATACAAATTATTCCAAACCTATGTATTGTTGGCTGAATAAAAATCTAAGGTATGTCCTCTGAAACTGGCCTTCTTTAGATCATTTTGAAAAGACACACCCAGCTCGGACTAACCAACTGTGAGATTGTACACGACCAGAACTGAAATCAAGAGTCAAATGCTTAACTGACACCCAGGCACCCTGGCCAAGTAGTTTTTTACCTTCATTCCACTTTAGACAGACATATAACATGTCTATTTCTTGAGGTAGCTATTCAAACTCAGATTTTTAGGTATATATTTGTATACCTGAATACACCGAGCATTAATCCTGAGTTGATTTCATGTTTAATGTTATCAGGTTATAACTGTAATAACACATACTTACTCTACACCAACGAAGTTTGTGTAAAATGGTGTTGAGAGATACCCAAAGCTGTAAGAGGTACAAAAAGATTACTGTGTCCTTAGGAGGGACTGACTGAAGGACAATGGATGCCAGGACAGGTATTATATTCCAGTTTACAACTGATTAGTCCTTAAATTCATTACAGTTGGATCTTGGTTTATTTTCTTAATAAAACATAAATTGTAGATGATATTGTCCATTAAAATACAAAACAACTGCTTTCAACAAAATATACTAAAAGGTACAGCTCTCTTGATCTAAGAGTCACTAAGTAGATTTGGATCCCAATTTCCAACAAAGACCAAGCATTATCCTTCCCATTATCTTGACAGTTTACAAAGCTGGGGACTGCACAACTGATCTGTTTAACTGTTGTGACACAAGCTCTCTATATTCGTCTTAGTTTACTACTGGTAACTTTTTGTTTTTATGGGAATTCTATACTGCTTAGTTTCTTTGTGAGGAGCTGAGACCACGGACAACTATTCCCGGATTGATGAACTACCATTCAGGGTATTTTCAACTAGTTACAATTAAAAAGGAAAATGTAAGCCCTTTTAGTGACTATGGGGGTGGCTCTGAAAAGAGCCTTTGGTTAAAACTGTCCTCTCAATGACCTCAGGTTCTATTTTTCCAGCTTACTTGCCCTTGGCCTTGTGGTGGCTCTCGGTCTTCTTGGGCAGCAGCACGGCCTGGATGTTGGGCAGGACGCCGCCCTGCGCGATGGTGACGCGGCCCAGCAGCTTGTTGAGCTCCTCGTCGTTGCGGATGGCCAGCTGCAGGTGGCGCGGGATGATGCGCGTCTTCTTGTTGTCGCGCGCCGCGTTGCCCGCCAGCTCCAGGATCTCGGCCGTCAGGTACTCGAGCACGGCCGCCAGGTACACGGGCGCGCCGGCCCCGACCCGCTCGGCGTAGTTGCCCTTGCGCAGCAGGCGGTGCACGCGGCCCACCGGGAACTGCAGCCCGGCCCGCGACGAGCGAGACTTGGCCTTGGCGCGCGCCTTGCCGCCCTGCTTTCCGCGTCCCGACATTTTAATATTCTCCGACCAGTAAGCTTAGGAAGGAAAAAGTGAAATGGGGAATCAAATCCTCTCAGCAAATGAGAAGCAATTATACTTGCAAGCCGAACTGTAAACTACGCGTTTTGATTGGCTAAAACTATCCAGAAGTTTGCAACCAATTACAAAGGACAACTAAATTCACGTAGTTTCTACGTAACTACCTTACGGTTTAGGACAGTTTATCCAAAGTCTAACTCTCTTAACACCTCATTCGCATAAGAGCCATGCAAATATTATGAATGCTATACCGAAGGCATATCTCCCTCCCTCCTTCTCTCTTTTTTAAAAGTTTTTTGACGTTTATTCATTTTTTATAAAGACAGAGTACTAGCAGGGGAGAAGCAGAGAGAGAGTGAGACAGAGTCCAAGGCAGGCTCTAGGCTCCGAGCTGTCAACACAGAAGCCAAAGAGGGACTGGAACTCACAAACCCTGAGATCGTGACCTGAGCTGAAGTCAGTCGTTTAACCGACTGAGCCACGCAGGCGCCCCCGGGGCACATATCTCTTATCTCAGAAGCAGTTTTTGTCCCTCATGCCACACCCAGCCAGATCGGCCCTGGTCCCTAAGAAGGGCTCCAAGAACGCGATGACCAAGGCGCAGAAGAAGGACGGCAAGAAGCGCAAGCGCAGCCGCAAGGAGAGCTACTCGGTGTACGTGTACAAGGTGCTGAAGCAGGTGCACCCCGACACGGGCATCTCGTCCAAGGCCATGGGCATCATGAACTCGTTCGTCAACGACATCTTCGAGCGCATCGCGGGCGAGGCGTCGCGCCTGGCGCATTACAACAAGCGCTCGACCATCACGTCCCGGGAGATCCAGACGGCCGTGCGCCTGCTGCTGCCCGGCGAGCTGGCCAAGCACGCCGTGTCCGAGGGCACCAAGGCCGTCACCAAGTACACCAGCTCCAAGTGAACTTGCCAAGTAAGCGTCTTGTTACCCAACCCCAAAGGCTCTTTTAAGAGTGAGTTTTTCACCGGAAGAGTTGTAATGGTTTTGATAGTGTATGTGACTACTCAAGAGGTTTTGTTGTATTTTGCCGAAAACAACAGTCTTGCCTTGTATGTCCCCAACACTAAATACACATACATTTTCACCGTTTGAAAGAGAAAAGTGTCATGTAATTAACGGTGTCTTGTCTTTATTGCCCTTTTTGACTACAACCTAGCCAAAGTGGTAACAAGAAAGAGTCACTTAAACTTCTGTGACGAGGTGTCTCTCACTCCTAGTTCTATGAAAAGCAAAGAAGGCTTCAACCTGGTAGTACTGCTTTTGTTAGTGATATGTGGTGGTAAACAGAAACTGGCTTCTTTCAAGATTAATCACTGTACATTTCTAGGGGATTTATTTGCTTAAGGCAATAGAATGTGCAAATAGTAGCAGGAACAGGCCAATGCATGAAAATTGAAAAATGAACATCATTGACTCCCTGATGGGGTCACCTCGTTGTAATGGGAATTTTTCCAAGGCTTGTTTAATGCAAAGTGACCACTGTGAAAATGCCACATTTCAGTAATGATGCTGGTGGTCCAGGAAAGAAACAGCCTTTAGCATATTTTGGTGTCTCTCCCTGAAAATTGTTATTTTCATCCAGGGTGGACCTTATGTCAGCTTCTTTCTATCCTGGTCCACAAAAATTCTTCTCGAATTAAAAAAAAAATTATATGTCATTCTAGTTATACCACCACTGCCCAGGCCTATGTAGATATATAAAATGGTAATGAAATTTTCTACTTTTCTGCCCGTTATTAGAAAACTACTTAAAGTTATAAACTGCCATGAATAGCATCCCACATTAATTAAATGCTAGGAATGTATGGACAAAATATTTTTAGGGATTTCACCCAAGTAGGAAAAAAGTAGAACTATTCTGTATTCTTGTTTCATTTATTTTATGAACAACAAACTTTCTACTCCCTACACAACACAAATGTACTCACACAATACAACACATCCAAAAATATTGAAACCTTCAAACAATTAACAAAAACAACAAGGAGAGAAAAGTAAAAGAAAGAAAACTAAAACTGTCAGATAGCTGTATATGATAGTTTATACTGATATAGTCAAGGTTTCCTTTCTGTAGCAATCCCAGATGAAAGGAAATGTCTAGGGGCGCCTGGGTGGCTTAGTTGGTTGAGCGTCTGGCTTTCGCTTAGGTCATGATCTCGCGGTTCGTGGGTTCAAGCCCCGCGTCGGGCTCTGTGCTGACTGCCAGCTCAGAGCCTGGAGCCTGTTTCAGTCTGTGACTCCCTCTCTCTCTGACCCTCCCCTGCTCATGCTGTCTCTCTCTCTCTCTCCTAGAAATAAATAAAACATTAAAAAATTAAAAAAAAAAAGAAAGGAAATGTCTAAACAAAGTATATGTGACTTTCCTGGGGCACACTGAACACCCTGAAAGTACGTACGATACTGTTTTCCTGTGTTCTTTCCCCCTCACAGAGTAGGAAAGATGTAGCTTTCTATCAAATTCTAAAAACACTGTGACCTACTGTGCTAGGCAGAAAAATGCCATCCCAATTATATTTAATTTCTAATCTCTAAGGATCTGTGAATAAGGTCCATGACAGAAGGCAATTAAAGTTGCATATAGCATTAAGATTGCTAATCACCTGATTTTTAACAGGGAATTTTTACTGGATTATCCCAGTGAACCCAACCTACTCCAGTGGACACTTAAAATCGGAAGAGGCAGCCTGAATAAAGAATCAGAGAGATAGTAGGTGGCTTATGTGGCCAGAGATTTCTGGCTTTGGAAACTGAGACAAAGAGCCAAGAGCAAAGGACAGAAGCTGGAAAAGGGCAAAGAAACAGATTTACTCTGAAAGACCCCAGAAAGGAATGCAGAATTCTGACACCTTGATGTTTGTTCAGTGAGACCCTAAATGCTGATTTAGAGAATTACAAAATTATGAAATTGTATTGTTTGAAGCCACTAAGTTTGTGATAATTTGTCAGGCCACCAATAGGAAATTAACGCATCCACATAGCTTAAGAATTATTATTTATTCAATGACATTCCTTAAAAGTATAAGTAGATATATATTTAAATTTAAATGTATACATGCACATAAATTCTACCTATTTCAGGCTCCCATAGTTTTGAAATCTCTCTAATTTTAACAGCATCATTATCTCATTCTTTTCTTGCTAGTGTTTAGCACATCTGGATTTAACAGCAGCAACTTTTCATTCTTAAGTAACACTTCCTCTACTCACTATAGTTTTATTATTTCTGGCTAATTCTACTTCAAAAAGTTTGCATTTGTAACATGTCAAGTATAAGAGTGATGGAAAATTTTAATACATAATGTCCATTAAACCCTTATGAACAGTAAATCTCTCTAAAAGGTGTTTTTTTATTGTAATTATTGCATTTGTTTTAATGAAAGGACCCATAGAGTTTATTTTGGTAATTTATTATTTAGTAATATTGTCATTATATAAAGCAGAACAGTGGGTGTAAGAACCAAAGTTCATTTACATGGCAGAACATTCCAACCAATCTCTTCGGGCCCTTTCAAAGATGTCGGGAAATTCAGACACTTTGCATCGAATAGATTTCTCACCACTTTTATTAAGTACTTTTACATAGATTATCTCCTCTCTCCAGCACTACACTACATATCTCATCTCTTTCCTTGGTGCATTCTTTGTTCAGCTTTCCTTAACTGGGGGTGGCAGCCAAAGTGAAAAGCTTGGTTAGGCCAGGAAAGGAAGTCCCGCATCCATACCACTGTCAGCTGACCTCAAATTCAATTCATCTCTGTATCCTGGAATACTTTCCCTGCCTGTTAGAAATGGTGCTGATAAACCGGACACTGGTAATCCCTTCAGAGCAAGAGAAGTATCTTGTACGATTTTCAAAGTGCCCATGGTGAGAGGAAGTGCAATACACAAATGCTTCCCAATGTAAAGTAGTAATGGCCCTTTAAATCCATGGAGGCTTAGAGCCGGGCATCATTCAGGAAAATAGAAAAGTATCTACTTTTAATTACAAATAGAATTAAAAAGTTACACAGGCTGTGGAACACTTCAAAGCCAAAACTAAGGTATTCCCAGAGACAAATGAAGGAAACAGAAACAGTATCGACATAAAGGGCCTGGGGCACAGGAACGAAGTTAATGGACTTTGTAAGGCTTCAGCATAGGGCAAGTGGAATTCAGAGTGAAACTAAGGGAAGGGGGAGGGCGAGATTGGTACGGGAAGGGGAAGGGAGGGGAAGGGTAACAAGGGTGGAAAGGACACTGGGAGAGCAGAACGCAGAGACAGTGAAGATAATGGTGGCATTACTGCCACCAGAGATAAATCCAGGTTAGAATAGATGCTAAGGGGAAAAAAGTACGTTCTTTTAACAACTCCCTTCCTGCATCCAAAGACTTTCTTAACACCCAACTGGAAATTATATGCTAAGTTCCAGGGTCCATATCATGTAACTGGAGTGACTCTGAAGAAAGGGACGTGCGTTACCAAGTACATAGGTAGCAGTCATCTATCTACTTTAAGCCAATGAGGAAAAAAAGCGTGGCAATTGTGTGAAAATGTCAGTTACAACTCTTTGGATGAGAATGGAAGTGGCTCTGAAAAGAGCCTTTGGGGTTGGGTAACAAGACGCTTACTTGGCAAGTTCACTTGGAGCTGGTGTACTTGGTGACGGCCTTGGTGCCCTCGGACACGGCGTGCTTGGCCAGCTCGCCGGGCAGCAGCAGGCGCACGGCCGTCTGGATCTCCCGGGACGTGATGGTCGAGCGCTTGTTGTAATGCGCCAGGCGCGACGCCTCGCCCGCGATGCGCTCGAAGATGTCGTTGACGAACGAGATCATGATGCCCATGGCCTTGGACGAGATGCCAGTGTCGGGGTGCACCTGCTTCAGCACCTTGTACACGTACACCGAGTAGCTCTCCTTGCGGCTGCGCTTGCGCTTCTTGCCGTCCTTCTTCTGCGCCTTGGTCACCGCCTTCTTGGAGCCCTTCTTCGGGGCCGGGGCGGACTTGGCTGGTTCGGGCATCTCAACTACTACTAATCCTGCTAAAAGAGAGAAAAAAATTTCTAAAATGCCCGTCTACATGCAGAGTCTCCTCTTTTATAGGGCATCTATGCAAATAAGGTATGCAAGAATATCCAGATCTGATTTGATAATGTATTTAGTGACGTAGGTATGTAAATTTGATTGCGTCATATCTTCCTTCTTATTGGTTGGATAGCGAACGATGATTTTTTTTTTTTTTTTTACCCAATCCCAGCTCGCATTTTACACTTCCATCCACCACTATAACTGGCATCTTTTTGCTGGCGCCAGGACATTTCCTTTTTGCATTTCTGCGGACGTTCTGTGTCAGATACCAGTCGCTATGTCCGGACGCGGGAAGCAGGGCGGCAAGGCGCGCGCCAAGGCCAAGACGCGCTCGTCGCGGGCCGGGCTGCAGTTCCCGGTGGGCCGCGTGCACCGCCTGCTGCGCAAGGGCAACTACTCGGAGCGGGTCGGGGCCGGCGCGCCCGTGTACCTGGCGGCCGTGCTCGAGTACCTGACGGCCGAGATCCTGGAGCTGGCGGGCAACGCGGCGCGCGACAACAAGAAGACGCGCATCATCCCGCGCCACCTGCAGCTGGCCATCCGCAACGACGAGGAGCTCAACAAGCTGCTGGGCCGCGTCACCATCGCGCAGGGCGGCGTCCTGCCCAACATCCAGGCCGTGCTGCTGCCCAAGAAGACCGAGAGCCACCACAAGGCCAAGGGCAAGTGAAACGTTTGCAGAATCTGCACTCCCAATTCCGAATATCAAAGGCTCTTTTAAGAGCCACCCATCTTTTCTGGAAAGCGCTGAAATACTACAGAATTGTAGGTGACGTTTAAGTCTTAGTGTTTGGTTACGCGCAGTTCTTAAGGTATCCTGCTATTTTAAAGTTTGATGTTTTATAAACTGGACAACTCGTACTCCCATTCTTTCCACACATTGGTCAGGCGGATATAAGAGGTTACATTTCCGATGACAAGATCATAGATTTGTGGAACATTACATAAAATGCTCTTTATGCACAAACGATTCGGTATTAAGCAAATGGCAATTCCCTGAGAACGTAATTTTTAGGGTGTGGGCCACGTATGTGACAACGATGGAAATCAAGAACATATCTGATTATGTTGAGATTGTTTAATGTAAAAGTGCACAGTGTTCACTCATGTACGTAATCACACATACACTATTTTCAAACTTGCAGCCCGAAAGTCTAAAATACGCATGAAAGAAATGAGAGAACAAAGGAGACATATCTGGCCAATCACCTGTCAGGGCGGGCTTTTTGAATTCTAAAGCCGACTGCATTCCTACTGAAAAAAATTTTTCGTTTCCGTCTTTTCACACAAAAAAGAAAAGTCCACTGAAATACACTAAATGAAACCTCGATTTTATCAACTCAATTTAAAGTACATTAGGAATTCATATAAACTGGAAATAAATTTGACTCTATATTCTATATTCAAATCTTAGTGGAAATCCAATCATGTCTCAGAAAAAGCAACCAGAGAACCAATTAGATCACAGCGCGGGACCTACAAACCACGCTGATTTCTCCTATAAATAGGGTCAGAAACTGCACCTCATTAGTCTCCAGTCACTTTCCTTTTCTGTGTAATTGTCATGGCTCGCACGAAGCAGACGGCGCGCAAGTCGACGGGCGGCAAGGCCCCGCGCAAGCAGCTGGCCACCAAGGCGGCCCGCAAGAGCGCGCCGGCCACGGGCGGCGTCAAGAAGCCGCACCGCTACCGGCCCGGCACGGTGGCCCTGCGCGAGATCCGCCGCTACCAGAAGTCCACCGAGCTGCTCATCCGCAAGCTGCCGTTCCAGCGGCTGGTGCGCGAGATCGCGCAGGACTTCAAGACCGACCTGCGCTTCCAGAGCTCGGCCGTCATGGCGCTGCAGGAGGCGTGCGAGGCCTACCTCGTGGGGCTCTTCGAGGACACCAACCTGTGCGCCATCCACGCCAAGCGCGTCACCATCATGCCCAAGGACATCCAGCTGGCGCGCCGCATCCGCGGCGAGCGGGCGTAATTCCAGGAAGCTGTTTTCTCTGGACTTTGAAAAAGGCTCTTTTCAGAGCCACCTATTTTGTCAAAAACTGTTGTAACGCTTTCTTTCCTTATTGCTACCTTGGTGAAACTAGTTTCTCTTTATAAGGATATTCTGAAACTTTTAAATGCATCCACTGGGTTTTAGAACAACGCATCTGACTTGGATTCACAGTAATTGTGTTTAATGTATAACATTCTGTGACTTAATTTTTAAAAAGCCCTTAACTCACCAGGCAGGATGTGTTTCAAGCTGCGGTTGTTTGACAAACTCACAGAATGGCCTGTAGCGGTCGTAAAGATCAGTAAGGATACTATTGCTGAGGGGGTTTCTCTCTTTACGTTCAGCCCTTTATAACCTTTTGGAGCGTGAGAAAAGAACAACGTTTCCAATTCCCATCCTTGGGGAGTCAAAGACTAGGTGAATCAAATGAAATACATTATTTCTTTTTAATGGATCTGCACTCCACTGTGTAGACCTCAGTAGATTGAAAAGTAAATACAAACATGGTTTTTTATCACATGGAGAAATTGGTCTTTATGCCATTACGTGATGTGTTATCAAAGTGTAAAGTTCAAAATAGCAAGCTGTCTCATAGGGAATTATTCTGATATATAACCCATCAGTAAGGGATATCAGGATAAACCTAGCTCAAAGCAATATAGGACATTATCAAGACTATCCATAGTTCAAGAAAGTGAAAGAAAGTAGAATAGTTTCCCCACAATATTCCTCTTTGACATAAAAATTGGAGCTTAAAGGCCGTTAAGCAATAAATACAGAAAAAGTGTTGTGAACCCTTCCCCTTTTCTGCCTTAAGACAGGATACAAATTCTTTAATGGAGACTTAAAAGCCCAGACAGGGACCAGAGGGATCAGGAAACAAGCCTTACTGTTAGGTTCTTCCCATATACCTACCTTCCCATGCTTTTCAGCCCTTAGAAGCCTACAACTGCCTTCCTTTGTCCGGTCATTGCTCTACATATTGTTCTTTGTCAAAGATGCTGTGTAAGCTGCAGTAAGGCGCCACCTTGAACTGCTCTTTCCTGGGTTTCTCCCATGTGTATATGAAATACACATGTTAATAAACTTCTCATTGTTTTTATCCTGCTAATCTGTGTTTTGTAACATGGGCTCCAGCCCAGGACAAAGATGGATAGAGGGAAAACTTGCCTCCCTTACAAAAGAATGAGAACTGGAATAAAACCAAAAGAGCAAGTTTAGATAAAAAATGTTATTATTCTACGGCACAATCTCAACCCTTAGATAATCTTTACTGACAAAATTTTCATCTTGGATGGACAAAAATCACTGAAATTATCAACATCTACAAGTTATCTAAATTCATAGATTTTCACAGATACCAGGCTCTAATAAGCAGTCTAACAGAAGCACATACTCTTGAAAAACATAAACAAACAAACAACAACAAAAACCACTGTCAGGCATTTTAGACTAAGCTCTTATAACACCTACTTTAGATAAGCTCTTTACCACCCTGTTTATCTCCAATCAAGTCAGAGTCACACGATATCACTTGTTTAACTTGTTTCACGAAGGTGAAATTATGATTCAAAAAATATAAAATACACATGGGTCATAGAGAGTAATTAAATCATCAATGACTGAAAAAGGGAAAATGCTGTGAAAGGGTCAAAGAATAATTAAGAAATTAGGGTATTTATAAACAACTTAACACAGAAATACTGGAATGGCATTATTGAATGAGGTTAACACCAAATTAATAATGTCCAAGAGGCAATAAATCTTTGGAGTTAGAGCTGTTTCACCTGACAGAGGTTATTTACAGCCCTACCAAATAAACCCTACTAAATTTGATATATTCAGCCAGTAATAGTAACATTAAAGAGTGAGATGATCAAAGTCCATTGCTCTACAATTCTTGTGTAGTCTTTAACTTTTTATGATAGTAAACATCATGGCCCACCCTTTCTTCCATATTTCCAAGTCTCAGATAAAGTGCCTCATACTGTGAATCCTTACTGGAAAGAAATAAAAACATAGAACCTGCAAGATAAATTTCTATGAAACTGCATGGTGTGACTCATTGACATTGTACTCATCAATCAAATAAATACTAGACACTGGAACTTTTTATTTTTTCTAGACTCCACAGTGATTCACCTGATTTTCTTATCTGTCTCCCTTGGTCTTTGGTTCCAGAAACAATAACCATTCTCTGGCCTTCCTTTTCATGAGATGTTTTTACACTTCCACAGTGATTACTTAAAACAACAAAACAAAACAAAAATACCAGTTTATACATTCTCTTGTACACAAGCTTAAGCTCTTTTAACCTATAATTGTGTTAGCAAACATTTTTGGATGGTCTCTTCTCAAAAAAAATTATACTTTTGGAAAAAAACATTAGCACAGAATTTCAAGAAGTCTCCATCTCTCTGCCTTTAAAGAACTCTAATGTTGACAATTTTTCTGCTTATGCATCTTTCCTTGCTTTGATGGGTAATGTATTCTTTGATAAGCCTTTGTTCGTTCCCTAACATGATTTTATTTTTTTAATCTTTTCACAATGCTTCATTCCAGTTCAGGGCCAGCCTCTGGGTAACTATATTTCTTAGAAATATAGATGGCCCTTGAACAAGGTAAGGGGTGATGACCCTTTGCACAGTTGAAAATCTAGATATTACTTTTGACTCCCCAGAACTTAACTACTAATAGCCTACTGCAGACCACCAGCCTTACCAATAACATTAACAGTTAATAAACACATACTTTATAGATTGTATCATATACTGTATTCTTATAATAAAGTAAGCTAAAAAAATGCTACTAAAAAATCATATTTTCAACTACGTGGATGGAACTGGAGGGCATTATGTTCTGCAAAATTAGTCAAAGAAAGATAAATGTCCTATGACTTCACTCATTTGAAGACTTTAAGATACAAAACAGATGAACATAAGGGAAAGGAAGCAGCAATAATATAAAAGCAAGGAGGGGGATAAGACATAAGAAACTCTTAAGTACGGAGAACATTCGGTTGCTGGAGGGGTTGTGGAGGGGGCATGGGCTAAATGGGTAAGGGGCATTAAGGAAGACACTTGCTGGGATGAGCACTGGGTGTTATACACAGGGGATGAGTCACTAGACTCTACTCCTGAAATCATTGTTACACTATAAGCTAACTAACTCGGATGTAAATTAAAAAATAAGTTAAATAAATAAAACTATATAAAAAAAGAAAGAAATCATAAAGGGAGACGACATTTGTAGTGCTTTATTGTGTTACTGAAAAACAATGTGCGTGTAGGTGGACTCATGCAGTTCAAACCCGTTATTCAAGAGTGAACTTGACATTGAATTTCCACCATATTTCAAAGTGCATGTTAGCAAGATTTGGTGAAAAATCAACAGAGAGGGCAAGGAAGAATGCCGAAGCAGCACTCCTGATAGAAAATAATGGAAGCCATGTGTGTTATCCTAAATTTTCCAGTAACCACATGGTAACCTGAAAAGATACAATCATTTTAATAATATAGTCTATGTAATCCAAAATATCCAAATATTTTTCTTTCAACATGTAATCAATGTAAACACATGAATAATGCAATATTTACATTCTTTTTTTTTTAATCCTAAATCCTCTAAACTGGGTATATATTTCATTCAATCTGATTCTAAATTTGTTTTTTTTTATTTTTAACGTTTTTATTTATTATTGGGAAACAGAGAGACATAGTATGTGCTTGGGGGTGGAGGGGGGCAGAGAAAGGCAGAGACACAGAATCTGAAGCAGGCTCTGCCCTCTGAGCTGTCCGCACAGAGCCTGACAAGGGGCTCAAACTCACAAACCATGAGATCATGACCTGAGCTGAAGTCGGATGCTTAACCAACTATGCACCGCCCTTGCGTCCAGGTGCCCCATTCTGATGCTAAATTTTGATTGGACACAACTTGATTTGCATTTCACTACCATAAACTTTGCTGTTGTTCAAACATACCCCTAATTTTCCAATAACTGAAACGAGTAATAGCTTTTCAGTTTAAATTATTTAAAATTAAATAAAATTAAAAATTCAGTCCCTCAGAGAATTAGACACATTCCAAATGCTCAAAAGAGGGTCCAGATCACTTTATCAGACAATGGTTTCTTAAAAAGAATTGTGTTTGGGGTGTGAAGGTGGTGATGGAAGTTGGTGGTTAAACCGGGAAAGTATATAAATGTAAATGTAACTATGTAAGTTTAGCACTGACCTCGAAAAGCTAAGATTCGCACATACAACGATATAGAGGTTGGGGGAGTGGGGTGGGATCTGAACATGAATCCAGATTACAAAATGTCAGAGCCTGGATCCTGCTTCGGAGACTGTGTCTCCCTCTCTCTCTACGCTCCTCTGCTCACGATCTGCCTCTCTGTCTCTCGGAAGTAAATCAACGTTAAACAAAAATTAAGAATATCGAGAAGGAAGGCAATCCCTGGAGCAGGAAGACAGAATTTCCTCAGGCAAAGTGGCCGTGCCTGTATTCAACCCCTGACCTGGGGTTTACTCAGTGACTGCCAGTCAACATGAGGGAACAAGCCACACAGCAGGTCACGGGCCCCAGAAGGTGAAGTGCAGGGGGAGCGCAGGCCCCGAGCAAGGGGACAGGCATCCCAACAAAAAGCACCCCGCCCGCGACCCCCGTGCTCGTGACAGGCTGTGGACCGCGGCTCTTTTCTCATCCCTAACACCGGACTACCAACATCACTATTTGGCCTCCACGTAAAGGGTACAAAAATGCTTTCCGGGTACGACAGAAGCGAAACGCGCCACCGCATTTCAGATACGCGACTAGAATCCAGACCAGCGCAGAATGTCGTCAACGACTCGCCCACGGTGTGTAAGAATCCTCCCAGCTCAACTCTGAGAAACAGATGTTAGCCTGATCGCTGCGACCATTCAGTCCCTCAAGGAGCCAGAGACGCTTCCTCACACGCGCGTCCACAGGGCTGCTCTCGGGGACACCGCGAGACTTCTCCAATCGCGCCGCCACGCGCCGCCTCGCGCGCGATTGTGGGCGGGAATAAAGTCGCGGCCACGCCCCCTGCCCCGCCCGCCCAGCCGACCCGGCCTCCGGCGCGGTTCTCAACAAGGTCCGCCGCAGGGTTATAAATAAGAATTTCACTCTTCCTTCTTCAAGCTCTTTGCTGGTTCTTTTGGCGAGCGAGGAAGCATGTCAGGCCGCGGCAAGGGCGGGAAGGGCCTGGGCAAGGGCGGCGCCAAGCGCCACCGCAAGGTGCTGCGCGACAACATCCAGGGCATCACGAAGCCCGCCATCCGGCGGCTGGCCCGGCGCGGCGGCGTCAAGCGCATCTCCGGCCTCATCTACGAGGAGACGCGCGGGGTGCTCAAGGTGTTCCTGGAGAACGTGATCCGGGACGCCGTCACCTACACGGAGCACGCCAAGCGCAAGACGGTCACGGCCATGGACGTGGTCTACGCGCTCAAGCGCCAGGGCCGCACCCTCTACGGCTTCGGGGGCTAAGATTCTGTGAATTGAAGCGAATTCTGCTGCAACCCCAAAGGCCCTTTTCAGGGCCACCTACCCATCCACTTAAAGGAGCTAGAGACGCTGGTGTTTTCTGCTTGCGGGAACTCTGGTTACTGAATGTGGTTTGTGATCCGAGCGCCAGGACTTACCATACAGTTAGCCATGTTTCCTGTTTTTTAGGAGCAGTAAATGTTAATCAAGGCAACTTACCAAGACTTAACAATCATGGGGCCCCCTGGGTGGATCAGTCGATTGAGCGACCAACTTCGGCTCAGATCCTGATCTCACAGTCCGTGGATTCGAGCCCCGCATCGGTCTCTGCTGACAGCTGCTAGCTCGGAGCCTGCTTTAGATTCTGTGTCTACCTCACTCTTACCCTCCCCTGCTGACACGCTTGCTCTTTCTCTCAGAAAAACAAAAACAAAAAACATTAAAAAAAGACAATCCTGGGCTTTTACCAACAAAGGTGTTTCTAGTTAAGACGCCCTCCTATTTCGCTAGCCGTCACTTACAGGTGAGTTTCATACATTATTGGTAGGTTACACAGATTTTTTTAAATACAGTTCCTATTTTACTAGAAATTAAACCTTGAATATTAACTGGAGGAAAATGAAGTTAACGCTAGTACTTGATTGAGTAACTAAGGAAGGGTTTGATGAGAAATTACACTAAGTTGTAGAGCGGAGCCACCAATGAGCAGGCCTACGTGGCACATGGGAACTTTTTCGCCCCATTTCCCCTTCAGAGAGTGAAATGATTGCCAATGGAACATAATTAAGCCACAAAGATTTGGGGATTTGTCTTAACCTTGTCACATTATTCCCTGATATTCTATAATGTTAAGTCCTCTCACAAGCCCTCTCACAGGCCCCTCTGGGGCCTCTTCTTTAAAGCCAGAAAGGGAGCTACAAGAACACCTACTTGTCTCTGTGCTAAGGCTCAGCCTCCGGCAATGTTTTCTAATGTGTGGATTCTTGCAAAGGAAAGTGGGAGGGCTCTCCGAAATGACCAGGCAAATTGTCTTTTGTGTCTTCGCTTCAAGAGAAAGTCAAGGGCAATAGCCTATTTAAGAGCACTTCAAGGTGCTTTGTAGCCTTTATCCTTACCTCTTGGCATCAATTCCTGCCTCCAGGCAAACTGAACCAGAGTATAATAGGGGTGGGGAGGGAACACTTATGTTAACATTCTTTGGGTTCTTAGCTTTTATTTTTCCTGACAGGTCCTGTGATGGCCTTAGGGTGGCCTCCAGGGTTCCCCCTCTTAGTGCTCACCCTTGTAATCTAGCCCCTTGAGTGTGGATATGACCTGTGACTTGTTTCCAATCCACATAGTACTACAAAAGTGACAGAAGGTAATTTTCCGTATATGATTATTGTTAACTAAGATTTATGTTACGTAACATCTATCCTCCTTGACTCTTGCATGCTGGCTTTGATGGACCAAGTATCCATGCTGACACACCCAAACGACAAGAAACTCAGGGGGCTCCTTAGGAAGTGGGGGAGGCCTACAACCAAAAGCCTACAATCCTTCAAGCCAACAGCCCCAAAGAAAGAAAATAAGATCCTCAACCCTACAAGCACAAGGAAACAAATTCAGCCAAGCAGTGAGCTTGTTAGAGGATATTTCCCCAGTCAAGCATCCAAGAGACCTCTATCCTAGCTAACATCTCAATAGCATCCTGATCTAGGACTCGGCTAAACGATGCCCAGACCCACAGAAACTGTCACATTATACATGTGTATTGTTTTTAAAGAGTAAATTCAAGGTAATTGTTGTGCAGCAATAGCTAATAGTTAGCTAACACACTTAGCATCTCCAATCTGTGTTCCATCTACAATAATGTAAGATGAACTGAAGCTGCAATCTTCATCTAATGAAGACATACATTTAAAAAAGGGAAAAGGGGGGTAACCTATAGTGGGAACATTCCCTTTCACAACTATGTAACCCTTAACAATCATCCCCAACACTAAGCATAAGCATACATGGGTAATGCCGTGCAGACCTCCCTAATATCAAAACTTTAAACAATGTCATGTAGTCAACAACAACACATCTAAATCATTTTACTTTTAGCAGCACAAAAACAAATGATCTACTTTCCAATAATTAGTACTTGAAACCCATTGATTGTCATCCATATCTTGTGACCCCTGCATACCTAGATCTTTTCTTACTCTTGTTTCGTTTTAGTTTGTCTGTGTGTAAATGAATACAGAAGGATACATCATGAGCCAGAAAAAGATATAAATGTGGATCAAAATTAGGGTTTCAGAAAATGACTCAGCAGGCTGTAGTTGATTACATCAATAGCATAAAGGCAAAATAAAATGGATAATAAAATTTTTACTGTAAATTTGAAGAATTATCATTGAAACAGTCTACAATAGTAGCTATGATTAAATTCTGCAGATCAGTAATCTCCCAAGCCTAGTTCAGATTATAGGATGATTGACATAAAGAGTTTGGTGTACTTTGCAAAATAATTTCTCATTGCACGAATTAGCCTTTGTGAAATACATAGAATTATAGTTATAATGTGGACATTATAATTAAAACAAATAACCAATGTACAAAAACTGAAACATAAAACCTTTAAGTCCCAGACACCTACTATGAAATTATTTTAAAGTGTAAATGAGGGAACAAAGAACAAATTAAAAATTTAAAGAACACACACAAAAACACAACTATTTGTTTCAGAGCTTTAGCCAAATTCCTATTATACACATTTCACATAATGTAAGCGGCTCTAAAGAGTAACATAAGTTCCAATAAACATCTCATAATAAAATACTTCTCACATTTTATGGAAACAAATCTGTAAAAAGACAAAACATGCTTTAAGAAGCCTGCTAAGGGACCTTGCTATTACAACTCTGTATATGCAAAATTGAGCGGCTCTACAAAGAGCCTTTAAAAAGAGCAAAATGTTGAAAAACTTTTACTTGGCGCTGGTGTACTTGGTGACGGCCTTGGTGCCCTCGGACACGGCGTGCTTGGCCAGCTCGCCGGGCAGCAGCAGGCGCACGGCCGTCTGGATCTCCCGGGACGTGATGGTCGAGCGCTTGTTGTAATGCGCCAGGCGCGACGCCTCGCCCGCGATGCGCTCGAAGATGTCGTTGACGAACGAGTTCATGATGCCCATGGCCTTGGACGAGATGCCAGTGTCGGGGTGCACCTGCTTCAGCACCTTGTACACGTACACCGAGTAGCTCTCCTTGCGGCTGCGCTTGCGCTTCTTGCCGTCCTTCTTCTGCGCCTTGGTCACCGCCTTCTTGGAGCCCTTTTTGGGGGCTGGAGCCGACTTTACTGGTTCAGGAATGATAAACAATCCCAAGATTAGAAAAAAATGAGATGAGCAAGAAAAAGCATAAAGGAAAAATCCCGAGTATTCATGCGAGGCATATGCAAATGAAAGCCAAAAATTCAGAATTTTGATTGGACCGTACTGACCAATAGATTTATAGTATGTAAAACGGGAGTCCCAAAACTGCTTTTTTATTGGGCGAAAGGAGTAACTCTTCCAAGGAATCCAATAGATTAATTTACAATACCTCTTCATCACTGTAAGTACATTCACCCAAAAAAAGCAAAAGGAAAAAAAACCCTCAATAAAGCCTTGTTTTTCATTTTGAAAGTAGAAACCTTCGCACTGAGAGGCGAAAGTGAAGGAAGGAAATTATATTACATAGCCCAGTCCAGCCCTCACTGCAGCTCCTTTGGATTTCTCATAAATTCTCCAGGACACCTCGGGTCTCTTCTGACAAAAATCCTGATATGCTAGACTATTATCATTAAGATATATTCTCAAAAGACTCTCGATAATCGTCTTTTTCAAGTTTCAGCATTGCAAACATTTTCTTCGATGCTTACGACATTAGACCCCAGCAGACATTTTAAATTCATTAAAACCAAACATCAGAGTCAAATGACCAGTTTGAGCCAAACCCAACATTATAAAGAACAAGGGGTTCCAAAATATTGGGATTGTAAACCACGAATCTTAAATATAAAATTCCTTATGTCTTAACAGGATGTCCTAGACCATACTACAATGAACTAGATATTTGTTGTAAATACAATGACGTAGAACTCATGAAATACTTATACAAAGGAAGTTTCAAATAGATGAGGACAGGAAATGCCTCCCGGATGAAAACAAGATAACTGCAGAAAGTGGTGAACTTTTTGAATAGAAATTTCAAAGTACTGTCTCTTTCAAGTACCCTGTATTTTATGTATACAAAGACTAGAGACGTTCAACAGTATTACTTACGAGAGTTATCGAGTTTGTTGGTCATATTTGTTAGTGTGCCAGGCATTACAAAGAAAACAAATGACTTTTTTTTTTCAAGGGGACCGGGAAGATGTCAGATCATTGAAACTAACCAATCAGAACCTTGCACGGAAGAGCTAAACCAATGCTAAATCGCTGGGAGCACTTCCGGAATGGAGCTCCAGTTGTCTAACAGGGATGGCCAACAATCCAATCAGAGTGATGCTGCTTCTGTATAAATGCAGAGGCGAGCCGCTTCCTGCGTTTCCTGACTTTGCAGTGAAGCCATGGCTCGCACGAAGCAGACGGCGCGCAAGTCGACGGGCGGCAAGGCCCCGCGCAAGCAGCTGGCCACCAAGGCGGCCCGCAAGAGCGCGCCGGCCACGGGCGGCGTCAAGAAGCCGCACCGCTACCGGCCCGGCACGGTGGCCCTGCGCGAGATCCGCCGCTACCAGAAGTCCACCGAGCTGCTCATCCGCAAGCTGCCGTTCCAGCGGCTGGTGCGCGAGATCGCGCAGGACTTCAAGACCGACCTGCGCTTCCAGAGCTCGGCCGTCATGGCGCTGCAGGAGGCGTGCGAGGCCTACCTCGTGGGGCTCTTCGAGGACACCAACCTGTGCGCCATCCACGCCAAGCGCGTCACCATCATGCCCAAGGACATCCAGCTGGCGCGCCGCATCCGCGGCGAGCGGGCGTAGACTGGATTTGGATTCTATGCCAACTTTAAACCCAAAGGCTCTTTTCAGAGCCATCCACTTTAATCGATAATGGATGCCGTGACACTTGACAAGTAAACCTCATTCTTAACGGAGCTTAAACTTAAAGCTTGAAAAGCCGTTAGGGACTCTCTTAAATTTAAGCTTTCCAGCCTTTGGCCTTCTGAAGCTTCCCGAATAATTACTTAAATGGTTGTACTCTCAAGCCCCTATTGCACTGGATTTTTACATAGGTTCTATATATACAAGTTTCCTTCTGGCTCTCCCATTCATGGATTTTACTCTAAAGCTTCGAGTATGGCCTGTTGCACTTTTCGTATTGGGGCTGTTTCCTTGGCTCTTCCATCCTACATGCTCCGACATTTTCAACATTAAATTAGTTCAAAGGGTGGTCCTTTGTGGCCTTTTGGGTGCTGGATTGAGCCTTCAAGGCTTCTGAGGCTTCGAGGCTTTCCCAGAGTTCACCTTGTTGAAATTATGCAATCCCAAGGGCCCACAACCCTTGGTGGGCACTTAGCTCAACAAAATTTGGGGACCCAACTCCCTAGCAACCTCCAGACCTTTAAGAAAGGTAATCAAAGATCTCCCCCTAATCCTCTTACCAGTATCCAAGACTTGGGTTTTAGCTGGAGTAAAAAAAAGTAAGGTCCGCAGCGTTTCCTGAGAACCTACCATCTATAGTTACTGGGAATTCTACAAGAGATTAAACAACTAAGAATGGCTTGGGTGGGTCTCAGAAAGCGCCTCTGGGAATGAAGAACCCAGCAGTAAGGATCCTTTTAACTGACCCCCCCCTTTTTTTTTTAAGATTTTTATTTTAAGTAATCTCTATACCTAAAGTGGGGCTCGAATTTACAACACCAAGATAGATTCACATGGTCCACTGACAGCCCTTAAGTGCCACTCAAAAAGGCACTTTCGGTTTTCCTAAATTCTCTCTTAATGCCAAATTTAAATCTCATGAGAGTACTTCATATTTGTCGGTAAAACATGACAATCCTTTGGAAGCTGGAGAGTTTTCTTGCAGAAAATATTCTGTTCTCTCTCCATATAAGAAAATGGTCTGATGCTATTACTTATTAAACAGATATTCCCTTCCCATGAAAATAACAAGTCCCTCAATTTCTACACCGGTAACTGAATGGAAAGGAAATCAGGAATTCTGTTCTAAAACTATTCAGGGAGTTATTTGGAAATGTTGAAGTATGTTTACTGGCTGGGATACACTATACTATTTGGAAGGATTTCATCTATCGTCTATTTAAACATTTCAGCAAATTTGAGTTTAGAGGTGGGAAAAGGTATCCCCAACTATAGAACTGAGAAACTTGAATCCAAAAAAACTTTTAATGCACTCTTTCACCTCAAGGATCACTAAGGAAAGTGGTACACTTCATTGACAAAGCTATAAATAAAGTGCACAGACAAGTCAGCCATAGCAGGAAGTCCTGGAGGTTTTGTAGAAGAAATTTTTGTTCTTGGAACTCCATCAGACATTGAGACTGGAGGCTTGGGAATAGGGAACTCTGGGTCCATGTAGAATAGAGCTTATCTATCCATGACTATAATCCCTGGAGTGGTGGATATTTTTAATGTTGAATAAGGCATTCATATTAGACTGTGGTTTCTCATATCCTATACTTTCTTTGAAATTCTAGCACAATGAGTTTTTAAATCTGTGTTCTGTCTCACCAGATGTTGGTCATCAAGACATGAGGACCTAGTGGGCACAGAAAGCATCTTTTTATGTCATTAAATCCACCAGAATATCTAGAATGGTCCTTTGCCTGAATAAACACTCAGAAAATGTTTTAGTTAAGTAGCAATTTAAAAAAAATTATTGGACGAACAGACTACTGTTTAGGACAGTCCTGAGTATAGAAATAAAACATTAGGGGCACCTGGGTGGCTCAGTTGGTTAAGTATCCAGCTTCGGCTCAGGTCATGATCCATGGTCCATGAGTTCAAGCCCCACGTTAGGCTGTGTGCTGACAACTCAGCCGGGAGCCTGCTTTGGATTCTGTGTCTCCCTCTCTCTCTGCCCCCTGCCCTGCTCACACTCTGCCTCTCTCTCTAAAAAAATAATAACAAACATTTAAAAAATCGTAGAGTTTGTGTAATTTTAATAAATAATTTTCCTAAGTAGAAATAAATTTATTGAGTGATTACAATGGGCCAAAAGTCAGGTATAAGGTTCCACAATATAAGAAAAGTTCAATAGTTACCTACTAGTATTATCTGTTATATACAATTATCATTCTATTATTTATCTATTATTTCTATTATTCTATTATTTATCGTTTCTTTACAGATAAGGAAACTAAAGGTAAGAAAGTTTCAGAAAATAAAGGGCAAAGCCAAAACTTTGGGCATTACTGTACTAAACAACAGCATCAGCATAATAGCCATCAGTTACCCCTAAGGGCTTTCTACCTTGGAACAGCTGTGAAAGGAAGACTGACATATTTACCTTAATTCTTTCATATATGTTAAAGGAAATGGATGCACTTTAAAAATTTACAGAATCCTATATGATTGTGAAGTTCTATTATACTATAATCATTAGAGCCAGTTGCACAGAGATAGAACCAATGCATAACAATAAAAATATAACATTAGCTAGCATGAATAATCTTTAGCCTTCTTGCCAACCATCCAAACAAAACTCATGTTCAGACACACACATATCACACACAATATTTTTTTCATCTTAAAAGGTATACATTGAAATAGTAGTACTTGACATCAAATTGCTTTTAATAAATTTTTATTTTATTGGAGAAAGATCACAGATATGACTCAGGTCACATTTCATATGTACCTACTGGTATATTAAGTCATATGCCCGTTTCAGGTTTACTTGTTTGCCTGAAACTACATATCACTTTTTTTTTTAATGTATAATCTCCGAATGACCAGAAGCTTTCTCTTATGGAAATGAGAGCTAAAAAATCAAGGCAATTCAGAAATTTTATTTCAGCGCCTGGGTGGCTCAGTTGGTTAAGCAGAAATTTTATTTCATTCTGCATACACTTCCAACCGCATTTGGCCACAGTAGGAGATACTGATATTTTATATCTGGAGGTATTTTTGCCATGAAAATGTTATAAATGTTTTTGATCTCTTTTTGCAGTAACCAACCCCAACACCTTTGGCAGCATAGCATACATCAGAAAGTAAGGGAGGTAAAGCCTCAGTCAAGCCATGGGGAAGAGGGGCATAAAAGGGGCAGAGAAATTTATTACTCTTGGCTTCCTACCCAGAAAGACAGAAAATAAAATTACTAAATCTGATTAATACCTGGGGAAAATCCCACCCACTGGATAGATTAAAAACTCAGTCAATTAAAATGAGATATCACCTCACACTTGTCAGAATGGCTAAAATCACACAAGAATCAACAGGTGCCTGCGAGGATGTGGAAAAAAAGGAATCCTCTTGCACTGCTGGTGGGAATGCAAATTAGTGCAGCCTCTGTGAAAAACAGTGTGGAGATTCCTCAAAAGATTTAAAATAGAATTCCCCAAAGGCCCAGTAATCACACTACTGGGTATTTATCAAAAATAATTTTAAACACTAATTTAAAGGGGTACATGCATTCCTATGTTTATTGCAGCATTACTTACAATAGCCAAACTATGGAAGCAGCTCAAGTGTCCATCGGAAGATGAATGAATAAAGTAGATGTAGTATATAGATAATGGAATATTATTCTGCCCTAAAAACAGAATGAAATCTTTTCATTTGCAACAACTTGGACCAGCTAGAGAGTATAATGCTAAGCGACATAAGTCAGAGAAAGACAAATACCATATGATTTCACTCATATGTGGAATTTAAGAAACAAAACAAAACATGAGCAAAAGGGAAAAAAAGACCAAACATGAAGCAAATTCTTAACTATAGAGAACAAATTGGAGGTTACCAGATGTGGGGGCTAATGGGTTAAATAGAGGATGATGATTAAAAAGAACACTTATGGGGGATGGGGGGGTATATTTAAAAACAAAGCAAAACAAAAAAATCCTTAGTCAATTAAAGAGTAGTGGAGAAACTTGACAAAGAAGGCTAAGGCCCTAAGGCATAGTTTCTTGAGAGAAAAGAATAGAAGCATTATCAATTTGCCATTGATAATAATGGCACCCAATTTTTAAATGTCATCAAAGCACATTGTCAGAGACTGGAGTCTTTAGCTAAGGAAATTTACTCATGAGCATGGAACGGAAATGGAATTGGGAAAACTCTCCCAGGTAGAGACGAGAGAATGGCAGGGGAAGAAAGTTGTTTAAAAAAAGAAAAAGAAGAACCAGGAACGACTGACAGGGCACTAAAAGGAAAATCTGCGTAGTTACGGCGCTA